ATTAATGTGACCTTGACCTGACCTTCGCTACGCAACCCAAGGTCAAACTGATGTGATCAGTAAATACATCTTTTTAAACGCCACAACTTTTGTCTGAAACATTTTTTTGTAAAACTTATATTTTTCCTGATATTCGGGCGTCCCGGTACTTTCCGAACACCCTGTATATTTGTAAATAACTCTGAGATTAGAATATAGTTCCACGTTTATTATTAACTATACTACTGCTTCTCATTTACCGAGCGAAACCTTGGACCGCACCGACTAAGACTATCCCGCACGTAACGCAAGACCGTTACAGATATACACATAATATTTTCAGGATATTGCAATATATTTGATATTTACAGGATAAATTCAGTATATCCTATAGATCTCTTTTGCTATGTGGGATTACATTTAAAAATTCTCACTGGCACTAGTGGGATTCGAACTTGGATTCGCGAGGCACCTCTCGATTATGAATCTGTTGCTTTAGACACGACACCACTTCATCTATCGATATAAACGTCTTACATTTTGTCTATATATGTTGTAATTAACACAGTAATATAATTTTCTGATAATATGATTTAATAAAATAATTTAATTTTAATAAAAATTATATTTTTTGTACTTTTATTGTTAATTTAACCCTTAGCTAATGACGTAAGGTCTTCTTTAAAATGAATTCTCTATGAACTTCTATTCATCTTTGTGCTATCTGAGTCAACATTTTCTCATTAACATATCTTGGAACATCATCCTACTAACTGGATAATTGCAACGATGCAATGCTCGTGAGTAAGAAATGGCAGGACAAGTTTTATAAGGTTTATTCCTTAAGGGGGGAAATCCAATTAGAACGAGGAAAAATAAGCTATTTTCAAGAATTTTTTTGTAGGAGAAAGAATTTTTCTATATTTTTCAAACTTAAACATTTATTTATATATGTTTTGGACTGTCCATACGTATTTTTTTTTCCAAAAATATTTAAAAATGGCGGACATATGAAGCATCCCATTTGGCAGGTACGCGTGCGAGTTGCTCAGCTGCTGGACAAATGGCGTCCGTGATATTGATCCTATAACAGGCAGCGAAAAAATTCTTATTATTTATACCCATAATTCGTAATTGAACCTAAAAAAATTGAAAAAAGTCAAAAATTTTGAATATGAAACGCTTATGAAAATAAATTTCCATTTTTTGACGTTTTCTCTGCACAATTTTTGCAATAAATAAGTGATTTTTTATTATAATTTTCACAAACATTTAGGTTCACCGACATTGTACTGATGTCATGAAGTTGTGTGCGAAAGTTCAGCGCGATCGGTTGAATAGTTTTTAAATGAGA